AAGTTGTCTGGAAGCTGTGGGAGGTCTGAAAATTCAACATCTTTGATTGATTTTCCATGAACCCTCAGGTTATTATCAATATCCCACAGACAAAGATACATGTGCCTGTCTTGGAATACAATGGCTGGATCATTAAGTTGATCATGTCTCACATAGTCTTCAGACATAGCTTCCTTGAATTCATTAAAGAGGTCCCTGATGTCACATGGAGTTTGAAATACCATCAGTGTAGCAAACAGCTGTCTCATCTGTGAAGGCATATTCATGATTGTGGCCTCTTCTAAGCAACGTCTGTGTTCAGCATCATCTTCTAGCAGACCCATTGCTCTTGCTGCATCCTTGAATGTGTCATACAGCTGTCCATCAATGGTTCTTATGTCTTCAAAGGATGTCACCCCTCTGCGGTGAAGCAATAGTAGTCGAAGGGCATACCTTTGTGGATCTGTAGGTTGAACTTGATAAAGCCTGCCAATAATGGACCTTGCAGCACGTTGTCTTTTTTTCCATTTCTTTGTCCTCAGATGAAAAGTGTAATGCTCTGGAACTTCAGTATAAAGATACTGTTGAGCATCTTCGTCATCTTGATTAAGTTGAAACCATGCAGTTAATGTTGTGTTTGGGTTCACATTAAGAACCCTTTCCTCGTTTCCTTCTTGGAAATAAACATTATGTTGTAGAGGAAGATGCACTGCAAGCCGTATGATGATGTGACTTTTGTCATGCATTTTGTACTGCATGACCCTGAACACTGCCTGGTGTGGTCCAACATATCTTGCATTAAGATACTGGAGAATCTCATCATGGTGCAAAATGTTCTCTCTAATTTCAACATGTGCACAATCATTACCTTTGTGAATGTATTTAAATTTCATGAGAAGGTGAGAATTGTAAGGAACCACCCAAGAGTCATTAACCAAGTGACGATGTAGCTGTGCATGATGTTGTCCTCGTCGTCGGTACTCTGGGTATCCATTCACCTCAAACTGAGTTACCTGTGAGAGTTGTTTTGGAAAGTTCTTCTTACACTCACCATTTTGCATGCAAACACAGTGTGGATCAAGGTCACCACATGGTCCATGGATCATGTGTTTCTTGACCATTTCATGCAAGTTTGGAAATTGTCGTGGATCTGGGATCTCGGCTGATACTAACCTGTCAGCGTCTTCTGCCACACGTGGTTTATCACCATCTGAGAAAAACAGAACCATGTGTGCATGCGGCAAACCTCTTTTCTGCAACTCAATTGTGTAAACATATGCAACCTTATTCTAAAGCATTTCTTTCAAGAAGGTCACACAAAAGTTCCTTGAGTTTTAGGTGGAAGACACGACTGATTATATCTGGCCTTTCATTGGCTGTCTGGTGTGGAAGGAGATTTTCTCTCACCTCAGGCCAGTTTGGATTTGCAGTCATTGTTAGGAAGATGTCAGGTTTACCAAATTTTGTGAGAATGGTCATTGCATCTTGATAATTTTGATGCATGTTTCTTTGACTTTCTTGAAAGATTGAGGGTAGAATAACAATACGGCCAACATTTGCATCTTCAGCTTCTGATCGTCTGTGTACGTGGTCTACAAGACCTTGATATGATTCTACCCTCGGTTGTGCTTGATGGGTTCTGATGTATGTCAGTTCATTCCCTTCAATTTTTTTTGTAGGCATCAACCAAATATTGTTGAAAAAGCAACTTTGCACGGTGAATGGTTGAAAAGCCACCTCGACATGCAATCCTGTAAGCATAAAACTTGTTTAAAGAGATACGCTCCCTTTGATAAGGACGATGTGCTGCTGGTAGCTGCTGATTGCGTCCAAGTTCAATAATCCACCCCAATTCTCTTTGGAAAAACAACAGTGAATATGTCATTGGGTCTGCATTTGGAGATGTTGCCTTTATTTTTGTTGTATTGTTGTTGGCAGTATGGTATATAACTATGTCTCTGTTGGCAGGATCAGGAGGTGCCCCTTCATCTCCAACATAAACTGCAGCTATTTCTGTGGCTATAGGATTATCATAACGTCGATCTTGAAATGGTCGCTGTGCTATGATCATCTGAACTTCTGGCAATGGTTGATTGTTTGCAGCTGCATTTTTGCGTTCTCTTTTAAGAACTCGTCCCATATTTGAAACTGCCTTGCAAATGGATTAACAGCCATGAGCTCATCCTGTAGCAGCTGCAAGACCTCAGGTTACAGGTTTGCATTTCTTGGATCATTAATTCTTTCCTGCAATGCTTGATTTGTATCCAGTATGTATAATTGTGAATACTGTGGACGTTCACCATCAGCTGCATCTGTTGCACTTGTCAAGTGGTAGGTTTGCCCATGAATGGTGACAACACGGGGTCCTCTACCAGGAAGTTGGTTGACAGTGGCATTCCAGGAAGCCATTGCCATAGCTGCATTGTATTGACGAATGTTTTCTAAAAAATGCCGTGACTGTGGTGTTTCTGCACTGAATAGGTCAATAATATTTCCTGAAGGTAGTGTTATTAGTGGTAGAGTGACTTTACCTTGAAAGCAACACTTGGTGAATACATTATGTGAATTCTGCTCACCAATGAAAAATTTGCCACGACAATGATGACATGAATTTTGCATCATACCAAGGTAATGTGGTTGTGGCAGGTTGAACAAGAGCTGTGGCTGCAAATCTGGATTCTGGTGTACAACTGGTTGCTGTTGGTCATGTTGTGGCTGCTGCACAATTTGCAAATCTGGATTCTGTTGCACAGCCAGTTGCTGTTGATCATGTTGTGGCTGCTGCACAATTTCAGCTTGCTCATTACCCTGTTGTGGTGGCACCTCATTTTGTGCAACTTGAAGCTGCAGTGCAGCTAATTCATTTACAGCAGCTGCAGGTTGCTGTTCATCTGGAACTTCATCAGCAGCTGGATTTGGAGGTGCATTGGGGTCACGGCGGTTTTGATAATATTGTCTTTGCTGCTCTCTCTGTATTTGGCGATTAATACCAACTCGACGTGGCATATTCTGAAGGGCAAAGAGTGTAAAGAGCATTGAAAAAATTTCTACTAATAAAAAATTTACAGACTAAAGAATTGGCCAATTTCTTAGTTTTTGCTGGTTTATTGATGCGTTGATAAATCTCTGAAGAAATAAAACTGTACAACCCTCAACTACAAGTCAAGCTTTTAAACACAGAACACTACAGAAAAGAAAAAACAAAATTCAAATTAACTTCTGAAAGGAATAAGTCAGCATGTTCAATCAAACAACTCAACTTAATAAAATTCTTCCGTACCGATCATGGGCTCCGACAAAGGTTGAAAAGTGGGGGGCCAACGGAAAATTTAACACCCATAACAAAAGATTTTGAAAAAAACTCTATTGTTTTGCAAAAAAGTGGGGAGACCAACTACGGATTACGTAGCGAACAACTTACCAAACTTCATCCATTACGATTAAAACTATAATTCCTTTTTCGCAGATCACTTTTCGCTCCTCATCCACGCTAGCGAAAAATGCTCATTTGAAAACTGCACAAAAAGCAGCAAGAAACAAAGCAGGATCCTTTGAAATTAATTTCTGATTTTTGAAGAAACATTCGGGGAATCTTCAGACCGTAAGAATAGAGAGAGAAAGAACCTTTAGAAACACGGGACAAAGACCACGGAGAGCACTAACGGTGATCGAGACGATGCTTCAGAAAACGCCAAATATCTCGAGAAAAAAGGCAGCAAAAAAAACGTTATACCTTTACGATAGCAAATCAATTATCTAGCTTCGATTTGAGACCTTGCCGGGGAAAATCCGCTCTGCCCTTCGGGGAGACAAAGGGGTTGAACCGCCGGGCGGTGTGGCAATCTTTTACAGAGAGTAATAGAAAAGAGAGAGAAAGAACCTTTAGAAACACAGGACAAAGACCTCGGAGAGCACTAACGGTGATCGAGACGATGCTTCAGAAAACGCCAAATATCTCGAGAAAAAAGGCAGCAAAAAAACATTATACCTTTATGATAGCAAATCAATTATCTAGCTTCGATTTGAGACCTTGCCGGGGAAGATCCGCTATGCCCTTCGGGGAGAAAAAGGGGTTGAACCGCCGTGCGGTGTGGATCTTTTGTTCGGGGCTCATTTGCATATCCGCATATTAGTATTAGTAGATTAATTTTTTGTTGTGTTGATTGTAATTGGGTTTTTTGAAGTAGCTTTTTGCATTATATTTTCTCAAAATTATATTTTCAATTCTCATTTCATGATTTTCAATGCGTTTATTATTTCTTGTTATGTTAAGACTTCATTTTACACCTATTTGACATCAAAGTTTTAGCATTGTGAAAACGAGGCTGCTTGCCCCCCTGACAAGCCAAAATCGAATGTTTAACGTTAATGCCCAGCAAAGATACCAAATCTACTTTAAGAATTCACCTATTTCCACTTTAAACTGTTTTGCCGCTTGTTTCCATAAAATACATGAAAACGAGACCTAAAACACGAAAAAGAGGCTGATGGCCCCCAAAATCCCCGTATAACATCGATTTTCGGAATCAGTACCCTCGAATTGACCAAAAGCGCTTGGTCCCATAAATTTGGTCTAATTCCTCCTGGTCTAACTTCATTGTAGTTTTGGAGACTGGGGTGCTTTGAAATATGTTTTGTACACAAAACTTTAACCTTTGTCGTATTTTGATTTAGAACAAGATTAGTGGATAAAGACCAAGAAATTTACTTTTAAAGGGGTTCATTCAAGGCAGAGTCAAAGATGGATATATCGTTTGGGCTTCCATGAACAGGTATAGCTAAATCGCCAGCATACTGAAAGCAGGGTAGCTAGATTTTATCTTGGAAGTTAGTAGCATGGAAATTGAAGAAACAAGTGCCTGGAGTGCTTCAACTTTCTGTTCCTAAATCAAACCCCCTTTCTGTATTCTAGACAACATTGAGTCTTTTTGTGATTTTCTTCCTTGTTCACATAACACACTAGAATGACAAAAACCGTTTTTGCTGATGCCATTATTTTTGCGTTGATGCCTCTTTAAACTGTCCAGCATAGAAAACTCATGTACAATCAAGAGAGCATTTTAGAGAAAATTTATTCTCCAAATCTTTGCTTTTTCACAATAATGCTTACCATGATTGATTTGATTTATTTTTGTGAAACAATTTGTAATCTGTAATTTTACCACTCATCTTCTTAGGTTCCTCAATTAATGTGTAAGATTTGTCATTTACAAATTTAGAAAGATGTGCTTAAAATTTGACGTTCAAATAACAAAATATTTATAGAGCTGCAGACAAGTAAAAAGAAGGTGCTCCACGTGAGTCACTGATCATAAACAGCCTCAAATGTGAAATCGTTTTCGTTGGAGTGCTCATCTGAAATTTCATTTGATTGTGATTGGAATTTTTTTGCAAAAGACAGCATATGCAGGAAGAATATAGCCGGCTTTGAGAAAGGCAGAGTAAAGCATATTTACAAGAATGTGGACGGGCTGGAAGAGGAGGAGAGGAAAGTACTTGCATTTTTCTATATAATGGAATGCTGCTTAAACAATCAGACGAAGACATCAAAATATATGCAGATACTCAAAATTTCAGAAGGGGTGAGATCAAGAAATTCTTTCCAGAGTCTAAAGAGAAAGAGGGAGTTTCAAAATGCAACTGTTGTGACACCTGTGCTGCTAGTTGTATTTCAAAAAATGAAGAATATATGTTAACAGCCTTCACACCACCACCTTCTGTAGCGGAATCCCAGCAAATTTGAAAAGTTGAAAAGTTTCGAAAGAAGCTAAAATCCAGTTGAGAGACATGATGAAGTCTTACAGGCTGTCTTTGCTTCCAGAGCCAGAAAATGTGTCGAATTGATAAAACATTTTGCACGAACAAACATAGGCTAGCCAGTTAGTTTGCTGCAAGTGCTGACACAAAAGGGAGGGAATAACTTATAAAACTCACCACTTTTGAACAATAAACTCTATTGTATTGTATTATATTACACTATTGTTGATATATATATGACTGTTGGCTCTAACATCCCTGACCCCTGAAATCACTTGTTCAATAAACTGTTTTTGAAAGGTGGTCCTTAACGTGCAGTTTTATTTTTTCTTGCCAAGTTCACATGGTTGCTTATCCATTTAAAGATGCCAGAAATGTCTAAATCAGAGATCAAACTTTTATCGAAGTCCCGATAATGCTTGTATTTACGTCCAAGAATCTTCTTGAAAGCCTGACACTCAATAGGCTCTTTGATAATTCTTTCCATATCATGAGAGACATTTAGGTACATTATGCCTACGCCCTTTAGCAACAAAGCTGGTATCTTCGTCCCATTTCTCAATAACTGCCTTGCTTGTTGCCAAAGCTTTGCAGCATCTGTCAACTCCCTGACGATTACATGCATTTGGCCCAAGCATTCTGATGACATTTTTAAGCAGCCTATTGAAATGCTCCAGTGCCAGATCGAGTGGCATGTTGCCTCCAAATCCACTTTTGTTTTTTACAAACCTGTTCCACATTAGTCTATGTATGTGCTGTATGCTCTGAAGAAAGACAGTACCTCTGGCAGATCAAGTACAGGTACTCAACTGCATATTTTGAACTTCTTTCACCGTCACCTTTCAGATAAAGAAGCATAAATTTCCAGCTTCTAAACAGTCTTTCTCCATCACCTTCTGAAATGGTATCAAAAAATTTTTCTATCACCATTCAGTACTCTAAAAAGGCAATTTGGTAATGGAACATATAATCTGGTTAGCTGAACCTGAATTGTGTCATGCCTCATGGAGCCTTTTTGCTTTGCCATTTCCTTTGAAAATTTTTCTGCAACCAGGAAACTTGCACATATTTTGTTCATTCTGATTGTTGGAAAAACAAGCTTGGGTAGAATTTGCTTGTTGAAGAAGTTCTGATACCTAAATGCAAAGGAATTATATATTTTCACAAGTTTTAAGTATAGGCTTCTGTTACCAGGAGGGTGCTTGCAGGTTTACCTACTTCGGTTTATAAAAAGGTTTGTTCATAATAATTTTGACAATGTGAAAGGGCACAATATCTTGCTAAGATATTACAAAGTCTATACTATAAAGCATACATAATTGGCCATAAAATGAGTCAACTTTTTATTAACTTTTGTGGTGCACCCTTTAGATCTACCCAATCTTTCCATCATCAATAGAGCTGACGTTGATTTATCAAAATCAAAAAAGTCCCCACGTTTTCTGCCTGCAGTTTTTTCAAGCCAACGTCTGGAAAGTGCACAACTTTGCAAAAAAATTTTAGGCCACTTTCGGCCATTTTTACGTCATATTTACGAAAGCGAGGCTCAGAAAAGATGGTCGTGAATGTAACCACCTAAAATGTGGCCGACCTGGAGTGATACTCCGGCTTCCCAACATGCATAATTCATTACAAAGGCGTTGAGGAGGAACTTTCGAGATTCTCAAATTCTACATACAAAGAAGAAAGGAATGGATAAGTGTCAACGACAACGCAAAACGTTTGATAGAATACCAGATGGTTTGGATTTTATTTCTCCGGTTGTTCAACAATCCCTTTTTCATTATACTTGCTATAGACGGTTTACGGACAAATCAGAATTTGAGAGAGCAGAAAAGAGAAAAGTGTAGAAAGTAAGGTTGGTGAGTTTAAAGCTCCAAGTCCACGGAAAAAAAGAACCACAACAAGAACCTCATCAAGTCGTGTGGCAGGCCTATCAATTGAACGAAGGAACAAAGATGTTCTCCCTTTAGTGTGCCTTATTTGCAAGAAAAGTACACTTAATATTACTGACAAGGTAAAAAGTTATGCTGTCATTGAATTTGATATATTGTACTGACTTGATCTTTTTAATTTTTTATCGTATTTACAATTGAATAAAGTATTTTAAAATGGTTTATCGAAGGGTAAAAAGAAAAAGTAACTAAAAGATCAAATCAGTACACCAACTGGTTACTTGTTGAGAGAGGAACATGATTAATAAAATAATTACATGATGTCAATGTACTGATTTGTCTGTGATCAAATTGTTTTCTTTTATGAGATTCATCTAATTACAACAGTCGTAATTTCTGCCACTTTTTCACTAGGTGTCAAAGAAGCGTGTGGTTCAGCCATTGACATTAAGTCAGACTATAGATGGTGGCCTCTTACGAAAAGCTGGAGAAATGAAGAAGGATGAAAGTATCCAAAGACTTTGTGGCTGTTGAAGCCAGATACCATTGTAACTGCTACCAGTTGTATACCAAATTTATTTCGAATCCTTTGAAAACAAAAGAAGACAATGACCACTTGTATGATAAGGCATTTAATGTATTTTGTGATGAATTTGTCAAGAAAAGGTTTATCGAGAACAAAGAACTTTTTTACCTCAAGGATCCGGTCGTAAAATTCATTGTTTATGTAAAGGAAATCGAAGATGTGGATGCATCCTTCTACCAGTCAAGCGGTCTGAAAAGAAGATTGTTCAGGATGTTTCCCAAGCTCAATTTGCTCCAAGCTATACACCTTCATTTGCCGCAAAAAGCCAGATTGTGTATTTAGAGCAGCTGAGAGTAGGGGAAGTTGGAGATAGTTATTTACTAAGTTCAGTTTTTTCAATGTCTCAGGAGGGAAGTGGAGAAGAAACTGACGATGAACAGCAATTTACAGTGAGAAATGATATGTTCTCTCCGTTCTTTAATATTGCAATGCACATGAAACAAATCAATAAGAATGCAACAGAGATTGGTTCCCAGTGGCCCCCAATATCTGCCAATCTGACATTAGAAGCTGCCTTTCAGAGTATTCCCGTGGAGCTTTATAACTTCTTAGCTTGACTCACTGGATGATCCAATGAACCAATAATTGATAAGAAAGTAGAGATATTCCAGATGAAAAGTTATGAACCATGAGACTGTACTAGCTGTTTTAAGTTCTAGAAAAATGACATGTCTTCTTGCAGGTTTGCCACCAGCCATGTTTGTTTATGACAATGCAGACTTTCAGGAGGAGACCTTGAGTGGCAAGGGATCAACCCATGTGGCAAATGGTATTTGCATTCAAAACACAATGTCAGACACAACTTTAGGAGCTGAAACACCCACAGTAAGCAAAAAAGCAGGCAAATTGATGCACCCTTTCTTCCTTTAGAAGAATTCTACCTTGGCAAACCAGGAGTTTTGAAAGTTGCAGAATATTGCAAATCAGTTCAACTGAAACCCGGTGCTGTCGGTCAGGTTGAAGACCATGCTCGTCCAAGATCAATTTCTCATACATTTTGTGCAAATCACTGATCAAAGAGGACAATGACATACTGCCAAGCTGGACAGCATTTAACACAAAGTTGGACAAGGAACCCAAATCCCTGTCAAACATAACATATTTGCCAGTAATCAATGCCCCTATCACAGAAGTTTATACTGTAAACACAACCCTCAAAAAATGCATTGCAATGACCGACAAGCTGACCCTCCAATGTGCTGTTGTTGTGTTTGATGAGGCAGTGTATTGCAAAGCTCAAATGATTCGCTGGAAAAATCAGGAATTTCTCGACCGTGTTGTTGTGAGACTTGGTGATTTCCACATGGTTATGTTCTACTGCAGTGGTATAACGAAACTTTTCAAGGATTGAGGTCTTCAGGTAATTTCCAGGAAATGGCTTACATAGTAAGCTTCAATGAAATGTCTAAAAAATATTCCTAAATAAATCAAACTTGTTGCTTGCAAATTATATATCTAGAAATTCTGTCCTGTATTTCACAATTTTTTTAGCATTATTGGATGCCTTGCAAGTTAATTGAAAATACTAAAACATATTTCCTAATAATATCTTGCAATTTAAACATGCAAATCATGTTTAGATATTGTGAACCTGTCAGATGCCTTTCATTCCAGGACATACTTGTGGAATCAGAAATTGTTGCTGCAGGATCTGTCAAGGGTATCATGTCTGGTAAGCATTAGAATCAAACCAGGAGATCTCACAAAATTATGTTCAAAGCACTTCAGCAAATCAGGTTTGAGGCTTTTTTTGGATTCATTAACGCAAGAGGACGCAGAAGGCATTATCAACCTGGCAAAACAATCTTACAGCGATGGAAGCTTGACAACCCTCTCTATCAGCTCTTCAGTTTCTAAGCTATATCATAAATATTCTGAATTCATCAAGGAAAGGAAGACTTCGAATAGTACATTCAATTACTGGTCTCAGTATATTGAAATGGTTGAAATTCTTCTGTTGCTTGTTAGGCCAACACGTACTTCAGATTGGGACTTACACTTAATTGCTGTGCGTGCAATGTTGCCATGGTTTTTCATAGCTGATTATGCCCGTTATGCATCATGCTACTGGTTAGAAATGTGTTCACTATCACAGTCACATCCAGGCAGGGCTAATATATGCCAATACTTGAACATAAATTGTTTGTAATTTTAAAAACACCTTGAAGTCAGGTAATTTTGCACTGACAATTTTACATTTGCATATGAGTTCTGAAAACATTTTCTCTAGCTAAATATTTACAATGGCAGGCATTTTTACCTGTGTATTGGTGCTAATGGCAGAGGATTCCGTGGTGCCAGATGACTGCCTATTGCTGACCTGATTCTCTTGTGGAACATCGTCAAGTGACTGCAACTGGAGAATTTCCATTGCGGCAGCTATTATTCTGCACTCCACTTCCATGAGAAAAAAACTGTTTGCATACCTTGATCTGACATCTGATCCTACATTTCTCCTTTTTATCAAAACACTGTCAGAGTGTGCAGTGATCAGATGCAGCAGATCCACTATAAAAATTGTCAAATCGAAGCTTTAAAACAATAAAATGACTGTGATTAGAAAACTTAAACTATTAAAATGGAAGAAATAAGCATCCAATTTTCATATCTAAAAAGTTGAATAAAAGCAATAACCTATTTTTTAAAAAAGCCATCTAGTCATGTATAGGAAAGACATTCATTTTTTGGAAAAAAACATTTAATAGCAAACACAAGCTCTTTGTATTGGCTAGGAAATATACCCAGTTTGGGATAAAAATAGGGAAATTAGATGACCAATACTGCAAAACAAACATTTTATTTTTGTTCACATGAAAGCTTTTCGTCTGACACCCTTCAGAGTTTAAAACGTCAGAACATAGATCGAAAACTCTAAACTTGGAAATATGTATACCCAGTTGTGGATCAAAATAGGCTAATCAGAAACACGAGCACAAGACTGTATAGGTTGACCATTCAGTGCCGCTTGCCTATTGAGAATGTTACCAATGGAGTCCTAAGGTGAAAACGAACTCCTTTTGTCTACACAGTAGGGGTTTTTTTGTGCTCATGTAGATAGATTCCAAAACTGCTAGGTGGAACAACGATCGGGCTTTACCAATAATCCGAAACATGACGCCATTGAAGTTTTTTGCACAATATGGGTTTTCTAGTAAGTGCTGCCTGATAGCACAATTGCAGGTTTTAGTTGTAATTTCAGATTTGCAAGACCAAGGTTTTGATGAGGCTGATTTTTCTTTGTTTTGGGCAAAACAAACTCCATCTAGTGTATAACCCCGTAAATGTGGGTTTACGGTATACACTAGTGAGAAATCCAGTGCCAGATTTTTCAACCAAAACATCTAGAAATGGCAAGGAGTTATTTTCTTCCTTTTCAAATGTAAAATGTAGGGCTGTGTGAAAGCCATTAAGCCGTTTTAGGAAAATATCACACTCAGCCTCTGTTTTGAAAATGGTATATGTATCATCCACATACCCAAAATAAACACCTGGCTTTTGATTGCAGTCAAAAAAATGTCCTTCATGAAAGCCGACAAAGATATTGCCCAAGGCAGGTCCCAGAGGGCTACCCATAGCAACACCATCCTTTCGTTGGTACATTTCATTGTTGAAGCTGAATTCAACTGAACGTGTTGCAGTTTCCATCAGTTCAATGAATACTCCCTTTGGGAATGGTAGGCTATCAAGCTCGCTCCCGTACAAAGCATCGGCACATATTTGGATGGTTTCAATCAAAGGGACATTTGTGAAAAGACTACTAATGTCGAAAGAACACATTAAAATGTTTCGTTTTTGTTGTTCAAGTTTTGCATGAACTCAGCAAACGTAGAAGAATCCTTGATGCAATGTTTTGAATATTTTTGAAGAACAGGGACCAAAACTTCAGAAAGCCACTTAGCCAGTTGGGGTTGTGCTGAACCAATCATAGACAAGATAGGTCTGAGTGGAATGTTCGGCTTGTGTATTTTAGGGAGGCCATACATTTGTGGTCGTTGAGAGCCCGTGGGTCTTATCCTATCATAAATTTCTGTAGCCAACACTTTTGAGTTGACCAGTTCCAACAAACGTTTTTGGAATTTCTGCTCTAGTTTGGCCATTTTGTCCTGTGTTTAGACATCACCCAATTTAGCGATTTTCCTTTGTCGTGGAGAATTACCTGCATTTTTTGATGTAGTCCTTTTTGTTCAAAATTACCACTCCAGACCCTTTATCAGGTTTTGTAATAAAGATGTCATTGTTAGCCAGTAGAGATTTTGGTGCTTGGAAAATGTTCTCTATGCAAAAGAAAATCAGAGTGGTCGATGGGAGAGCCAATATACGCAAATACCAAATCGCTTAGTTGTGCTCCTAATTTGCTAAACTCCAAAGGGTTTGAAACCTCATGTTTGGCAAGTTCAGCGTTTAAAATTTCGAACTCGCAAAAAGTTCCTCTCTGTTAATTGTTGCAAAATTCAAGTCTATTATCTAAGAGAAATGTTTCAGTATCAGATCATTTGTTTAAAGAATGACTCTAGCACAAGCTGGAAGGGGGGGGGGGAAGGTTCTCATGCCAAAATTGCAAAAATATCTATGTTCCTTTCTAGGGAGGCTGTAATATTATCAGAATTATTATCATAACATGAAAATGAATTTTATTGGCTTAATACATAGCTACATCTTGTTGAAAAACTGTTAGCTATTTATTATCATTTGACAACTAATGCCATTTTGGATTTCCTCGTATACATCAAGATAATTCAAGTGCCTTCCATTATAGGTTCTTGTAGTATCGATTCTGCCGTTGCTCGATGAGGCAGACATCCGACTCGGCCATTACAATCATATGAAGGCAAGATAGGCATCTGCTTCAAATGTTGCAGATGCAGACAAGCATTTTGATCGCTGGGACCTTTCTGGTCGAACAAAGACAGCGTCCATTTAAGTGCAAACTTTGGTTAGCCACGACTCGTCTCATTAATTGTGGATCAACTTGAGAAAATCGAAGCCGAGGTTGAAGACACAGAAAAGACGAGATGGCCAAGGGTATGCCCTGCATTCATTTGGAGGGAGCTGAAAAACCATAACCCTCTCAGTGAGTTTTTGATGAAAGAAACTGTAAATTACATGTACCTGAAAGATAGCAGCTTTTATCTGAATGAGATAAAAGTCAGTTGAAGAGTCAATGTGCGTTTCTTTGAGAGTGTTTTTTTAGCCTTGGATTTTGTAATGTCAGCAAGAGCCTTCATCATGACCGCCTAATGGTTTTAAAATGATAGTTTAGCTTGAAAATACCTGCATTTCTCAAGTCTACCCTCGTCATAAGTGTTTCCATTTTTTTACTATTAAATTGATAATTTTTTCCTTTTTTCTTCAGGCAAACAATTGGTCAAAGCTGGAGAGGAAGCTGATGACCTTGTAAGACTTGCTGATGCATCTTGGTGGGGAAGATTTTGCAAAGAAATGTCAGAAACTGTGAACGCAAAAGGCTTCTAGATTTTGTCATTAGAAGGCATGCTTGCAACAGCAGTTGTTGGCAATTTTTCACTCTACAGCATGGTAGTCACATTTGCGGGGTTTCAACAATTATTTTTTATCTGCTTGGCTGCTTAGATTAAGTAAAGATTATCGTTATTTAAAAAATATATCTCGCTACAGCAATTTTCTTAGGCATACAATTGCCAAATGGTGCATGGATGGAGAGATAGAAGTAGGATCTCTGAATACATAGACAAACTTATCTAGAGACTGGCAATGTAACCTGACAACAAAATTGACCTAATGAATCTCCACTTCCAATGTGTTTGAAGAAAGCAAAACTTTATTTGATTCCCCATCAATAGGAAGCAAACAAGAAAGTTGGAGCTATAGGATGGGTAGTTTTTCGGAAAAAGCTTGTTTGAAAAGTGCTTCTGATCACTCAAGCATTTACAGTAAGCCCAATTTCTATTGTGAGGGCTCTAAGCATTCCCGGTAAATTTTCATAAGAAGACAGGAAAATAAAGGGGCAAGACCCAGAGATATGAGAGAGGGAGAGGAGAAAATGATTGTAAAAAGGAGTGGGGAAAAAACAAGAGTGATATTAAGGTTTTCTTAGACCGGTAAGAAACATTTATATTTGGTTGTAACCGAATTAGCGATACAGTTGTGAAACAGAGATTGAACCGGCCTTGTTTTTTTGTGGATTTCTCCAAAAGGACTTCAAACATTGCTGCGTGTATGTCAAATGATTTTCAACTTATCATTATAATGGAAAAAAAGACTGTAACGAATACATTGGAAAAGACGTGGAAGAAGATTTAGAGCTTGCTTTCTCTAATCAATGATGATGAGCAAACTTTCTCCTAACAAAATGGCATGGATAAGGAAAACTCCATTAATCATCATTCAATTATCTCGAATCATATTAATCCTAACCTTATCTCCTTTGTTTATATTTGTGAAGCCTTGTATATTTGTGACAGAAACTTGCCAACACACAGTTATCATTAAAGTATCAACTTTGTTGTTGATTTCAGAAATTGCTTGCACCAAAAGAGACAAAACTTTCATTATTGTTAGGCTCCGAGGAGTTGCTCTCCATAAGCAGAATTTCATTTATGACCTAATCAACAAATTAGTTGTTTCTGTAATACATGGAACCAAATTTTTTGAGGGCATTTGGATACTTAGCCCAGAACCTTCCTCCTTTTAAAAATAGCTGCCAAGTAAAAATTATACCATTTACCACCAGCAATTTTCGGTTGGTACAACTTTCGCTTTTCTTTCCATTTCCACCACCGCAGACCACTTTTACAATAACATTTATCAAACCGGTACAAGAAAAAATAAATTTAAATTACGGAATTTCCTTAAAACTAAAAGTGCAAAGAATGTTTATTTGTTCAAATTTGCCTTGCTTGAAGCATCATGGTAAAATAAAAAAATTAATGGCATTACCATTTCTGTCATGCTTTTTGTTGCTGAATGCGCTCACAACTGGCTCTAATTCCCTCTAAAGAAGGTAGAAATGGAAGATGGTATTAGAACTACATCAAGCGATCAAGGGAATGTAAAACAAGGGATATTCAGTAGAAATGGAGCAATTGAAGCAGCTAAACTTAGCCATGAAATTGAAGATTTTGAAAAATTGAGTTATTTTTGGAACCTTAAATGACATTTACATACTCTCTGCCAAGCCCTTACTTAAAAAAATCAAGGTATGTCCCTCGGATGAATAGAAAATATTATATTACCCTGCCAAAGGACGTAATTACTTTCTATCTTGTTTGTTTGAAACCATAAAAAAGGACAAGCACAGCTTTTCAAAACTAAGAAAAATCAGTGTAATACCAACCTCAACCAGATCACACTTGGCCCTCTCACAAAATCTTGTGACTTTAGAAGATCTTGGATCCAGGTTGTTGTTAGAATAGTGTGCCCCAAGATCTCAGCGGGAGAATGCTTCAGGCTTGTCTACTACGGCGCCCTCGTCGGTCATGTTTGCCGTTCGTACATCATCACTGTGGATGCCTTATATGACGATAACCACAAGATCCATCAATCATATGCTCCACAAATAGGCATACGACAGCCCCTGAGCTTCACTCTCGCTCGAAACCAAGCCTGCGCTTGCTAATTTAATACAAGACTATCTACAAAATCAGCATGTTATAATGGCCAGCAACTACATTCCAAAAGACAAAGAAGACACACGTGATTCATCCATCACCAAGAAAGGTACTACATTTCTACTTTACAAATTACAAATTATCCACACCTTTAATGTTCGTTCTCCTCACATGGTTTAGCACTCTATGCCAGTATTTCATATGATACTCGTTACATATATAGCCAAAAATCATATTTATATCAATATATACCAGAATCCGCAAAGCATACACCTGTCTGTGCACATATATACATGTACATAATATAAAGCAAACGTAATGTACACATAGAAAAATGTGTATCTGCAGATCTTTGTATCTACATATCTATGACATTGGTTCATTGTGCAACCTATGAAAATCACACGACCCACCTTTAGGGTACAGGCACGACTACACAGGTTCGGTTGTCCAAAAAATTATTGAGAACAAAAAGTTTTGCATACATATCATCCAAATGGTGAAACCTCTATACAAATATTCATATGTGTGTATATATTTCTGTATATATAGAATAATATCACACAACATATCTCACAACATTGTTATACCTATACTTGCACAGATAACACAAAAGAACTTCTTGACATTGTGCTGGAAACCACCAGCAAAGATGAACTTATTGAATGTGGCCAACGCACACCCGAGAACACCAGGCACGGCCTCTCTGGTTACAAGATACCAAAGAAAAAGCAACCATCTTCTGCCCCTCTCAGAAAGAGGTCTGAAAAAACACAAACTCCCCCAGCCAGCATAATAGTGGGGCACACTAAGAGCAGTACGGCAAGTTGACTGCTCTCATATCCAACAGCCTGGCGAGTAGCTTCTACCACCAGGACAAATCTGAAGAATTTCAGAGACACGCAGAGAAAGATCGATATCCTACTTTTCTCTACCCGGAAGTCAACGTCCGATACAGAAATGATTTCTTGTCGGATTTGCAAAAATAAGTGGCAGAGGCCTGTTGCACGTTTGCAAGGACCATGTGCAACATACTGGCCTCTCATCACGAATCAATGAGGTCATCGCAAGATGATCTCACACAAAACTATATAGACATGGCCAGGAAAAGATATCCCGGTGCTGGTATTGTATCGAGGGCAGAAACCCTGGCTATGGACAAACAGATAAAATACAAAGGAACCAGAGAGGGCCCAACAACAGGCAACAAGCAGAAAGGCGAACGGCGTTCAACAATTTTGAATATATAATTAAATAACAATATACATATAATTTTATTTTATTTTACAACTATACTATAAAACCTCATTTACATTGTCTTCTATTGTTCTCGCTGCATACAGGATCCGAGGGTACACGTAAATTCACAAATCAACATATCAAAACATGCCTTAGACAGATTTTAGGCCAAATAGGAAACATCGCGTGAAAGCGAAAACACAAAAATTTCGCATATTTATTATTCCATGACCTTGATTTTGTCCAAATATATCTCTTTGTTATATATCTGTTTTCTTGTTTTAAAGCCTGCCCCCCTCAGGTATTGTTTTTTGCTCGAGTTTGCACAGTCCCAATCATACAATGATCGCTTATAACAAATTCGAGGACAATAGTCTTGGTTATATTGTGTGGCATGTTGGTCAAAATGAGATGAACTAGATATGTGGTCTCCTTAGTAATTCTTGTAGGACACGTAACAATTTAGGGAAATCCAGAACATGAAATTATGTGATATGGTGGTGAAGAGCCCCAGAAGATAAAGGAGCCATAGAATACCGGAATCCCAGAATATAGCGGAATTTTTTTCTAAATTTTTTTATTATTTTGATCTTGGAATTGGTATAAATTATCAGTTGTACCATTAGTTTAATGTGTTGTCGTTATTTTCAAGAATAAAAATCTATCAAATCGCTTTTAGAATCAAAACTAGGATCGGAATGTCAACATGAAAAAAAACTTCATATGCAGTCGAAAATAAGTGGAAAACACTTAATCAACTGAGGATTGTACATAAAAGCAAAAGTTACTGTTCAAATAATACAAATCTGACTAAAATTCAGCAAGGAAAGAGGGCTTATCAATCTCCCTTACAATTAGAAAGATTTCCAAGAGACAAAGCACAACTGTGTGTCATAGATCTGAGGTAACTTTTAAAGGAGGGAGGAAACCGTCCGCACCTGCGACTCTTGGCAGCGAAAGTGGCCTATGGTAATGCTTGCTTGCAGCCTGCGTGCATATCTTTTTCCACTTTTGCAAGATTCCCAGTAATTTTGCGCATTAGTGCTTGTGATAAACACACCTGCGTAAATAAAATTGGCCCGAAGGGCCCTGGAATAGGCTTGCTGTTTTTCTTCAAACCTTCTATAAAATACTCTCTTGGAAATTGTTAAACTAGTAAAAATCTTCCGATTGGAAAAAACTTTCAGCGAAGGTGAATATATAATTATGCATACATAGATGTATAACTGAACTTTTTTGTTTTAAAATGTTACTAATTGAGGCACCTTGTTTACTCTTTCTGTTTCAATACGTTCTATTAGATGCCATATTAATTTAAATTAATGTCTTTTCAGAACGTACGAATGTGATAAAAAACCATTTTTGGTGCAGTATCTCTTTTATTTATTCACTATGTAGCTTTAAAAGTATTCAAATAATTGAAGCAAAATTGCTAATTTCTTATATGCAATTCAACTCTACACGTGCTTCTGTTCAGTAAACCCTTGCAAGGAAGAATAGACGTTTTAAGAGTCAGATAGCAATGAACAAAATTTCAAGGGTGTTGGTTTGGCAAAAGCACCCCAGATTTTTCTTAGTTCATTTAGAAAAAATTGAAAACTGTTTTTAGCGCTTTTGTCGTTAAAATTTTGTCGTATGACAGGAAATTTGCTTGTTTCTCAAGGATATCCCCCCCCACCCACCTGAAACATGAAGTCCCGCCTCTGTCAGATTGTATTGTGAATTGTGAATACACTAGGTATTTCATTGAAGAACGACAAAGAGTCTGTTCCTACTCAAATGGCTTCCAGGGGTTGCTGTATACTTTTATGCAGGTTATGTGGTGCTTCCGCTTTATATGATAATTTCAAAGGTGAATTTCTAGAAGAACAAATATCTATAAAGGATTAAATGTTCATACTTTGCGTCTAAAATAGGCTACATTAATAATGCTTTTACTTGGTACTTACACTTTTAAAATACTTACTTCTAATAACCTTTGTTTTAACAATCTGCTCTACGTTGTACTATATCCTCTTGCGGGATTTTATAGGACTGCAAATTAAATTAAATGTGACACGCTTCAAGGTTGGGGAACTGTTTTCATTTGAAATCAGCTCTTCGGTATCACTTTCCCCTGCAAAGTCCAAGCTATCTGCTTCGTCATTTATCTCAACATTACTTCCAACTTTCCTTTCCTGTTCCTCTCCAGAGCCATTAACGGCATTTTTCTTTGTTGAAAAGTGGTCATTACATGTAAAATCATGGCATACACCTGGTGATGATAAATCTACGTTTGCAAAGTTATCACAAACACCTGAAGATAGGGGCTCATCAGCTAAAATTTGGTTATATGTATGATCATCAGCATAACTTGCTGCCTCCACTTCGTCTCAGTCCCATTCAAATTCATTCTCCTCTTCCTCTGTCTTTTTAACATTGACCTGATGCATAGGATCTGTTTCATGAAATGTTGCTGCATTTCCTTCTGTTAATTTCTCATGACGACTGTTTGGAAAAAATTTAATACTAAAGACTGCCTTCCTATGGCATCAAAATTCACTTACAAACCAGTGTCATTTCCCCTTTAGAAAGTTTCCATTACCAACTTCGTTTTGCAGGTCGATAGCCTGCAAGTAAGCAATATCACATGCATTGTTATTATCCAGCCAAAGAAAAGAAAGAATTAATGACCCCGATGTAGCATTTTCAATATTTTCTTGCGTACTTCCAGCTACCCTCCCTTCAAATGGGGCGAAGAAATCATGGTGAAAGAGGTTGCCACGAGCAGCAACCATGTGTGCCATGTCACAAACTAAAACATTTGGTTACTAACACATTTCAGACTCCTTAAAGGTCATATGCAATCAAAGCATTTTTTTGTTGAAAATTAATAATTACGCTATGTAGATATCTACAGAATATCAATAAAATATAATAAAATAGAATTTGTCTATTTTATTTCACCATGTTTACACCAAGGGACAGTAAAAGACATGAAACTCGACGTTGAGCAATGTTTTGCAGCTCAAAATTCTTCCAAACAAAAAATAATGAGTGCCTTACAAAAATATAAAATAAAAATTTACCTGCATAAAAGGAAACCATTTTTACATCGATTCATTTCCAAACAAAAAGAATTTAAGTTTTTCCGTGGCGTCCATTAAGTCCAGATTTGTACATCATTGAAAATGTTTGGCTTCGTATGAAAAACATTACGAACCATGATTTAAAAGGTTCTTGAAGAGCCAAAAAATCGTTAATTAAAAGAATTCTTCAGATTTGGAATGAAATTCCCCAATAATACATTGCCCAATTATATGCAACCAATTCAAGAAGGCATAAAGCGGTTTCAAAAGTTCACAGCTCCCGTCAAAATATTAAAATTTGAAACTGTTAAAAGACGTTTGAAACTTTAATTTTAAAAGAAGTGCTCTAAAAAGAAGGAGATTTGATTGGTGGTTGTTTCACTTCCGACCCATTCCCATTCGCCACTTAAAAACACAATCAGTTTGCACAAAAATAGCTTTCGATAATTCTTGCGCCATTTTCCCCCCTTCGAGGTGGTGCAATACTTTTGTGAGGGGAGTGTAATTGCTTAAACAAATTGCAGTACACAATATATATCATCATTTCTTATCACTTCAAAGGTGTATGCTTGTGTTCATATGCTATGATTTCCTGTAGCAAAAGTTGGTGATAACAACTTGGTTACATTTTAGTTGAAGAGCAGGATATTCTGCCAGTGCAGCAAACAATGCAAGATTCAGCAGAAAGTTTCAGTGCAACGAAAAAGAGAAGACCTTTTGTCAGTCATTGAAGAAAATTTGGACTGCCATGAAAGGGACATACATGTCACAATCCACCTTCAAAATAAAATTTAGTTTATTTTGTTCAATTTGTTCAGCTGCACAATATGGTGAGGCTCTTCTTATGTTTTTGCTTAGTCACTTAAATTTTCTAAATGTGCGACATAGGAGGAATAATGTAGAGACTTTAAGCATCACCAACCCCAACCTCAACCTTAACCTTAGAATCATGAGTTCATAATACGTCCACTCGCATCACCAGACATGTGAACACAATAGCAGCATGGGGCAATGAGATATTAGATGGCCGTTGATAAATTCCTAAATTTGACTTTTTATTAATTCGATTAAAGTGCAAATCTCAATCGCAAAACCAAAACATCTAGAAATGGCAAGGAGTTATTTTCTTCCTTTTCAAATGTAAAATGTAGGGCTGTGTGAAAGCCATTCAGGCGTTTTAGGAAAATATCACACTCAGCCTCTGTTTTGAAAATGGTATATATATCATCCACATACCCAAAATAAACACCTGGCTTTTGATCGCAGTCAAACAAATGTCCTTCATGAAAGCCAACAAAGATATTGGCCAAGGCCGGTAGTTTCTGTAGCCAACACTTTTGAGTTGACCAGTTCCAACAAACGTTTTTGGAATTTCTGCTCTAGTTTGGCCGTTTTGTCCTGTGTTTAGACATCACCCAATTTAGCGATTTTCCTTTGTCATGGAGAATTACCTGCATTTTTTGATGTAGTCCTTTTTGTTCAAAATTACCACTCCAGACCCTTTATCAGGTTTTGTAATAAAGATGTCATTGTTAGCCAGTAGAGATTTTGGTGCTTGGAAAATGTTCTCTATGGAAAAGAAAATCAGAGTGGTCGATGGGAGAGCCAATATACGCTAATACCAAATCGCTTAGTTGTGCTCCTAATTTGCTAAACTCCAAAGGGTTTGAAACCTCATGTTTGGCAAGTTGAGCGTTTAAAATTTTGAACTCGCAAAAAGTTCCTCTCTGTTAATTGTTGCAAAATTCAAGTCTATTATCTAAGAGAAATGTTTCAGTATCAGATCATTTGTTTAAAGAATGACTCTAGCACAAGCTGGAAGGGGGGGGGGGAAGGTTCTCATGCCAAAATTGCAAAAATATCTATGTTCCTTTCTAGGGAGGCTGTAATATTATCAGAATTATTATCATAACATGAAAATGAATTTTATTGGCTTAATACATAGCTACATCTTGTTGAAAAACTGTTAGCTATTTATTATCATTTGACAACTAATGCCATTTTGGAATTCCTCGCATACATCACGATAATTCAAGTGCCTTTCCATTATAGGTTCTTGTAGTATCGATTCTGCCATGGCTCGATGAGGCAGACATCCGACTCGGCCATTACAATTATATGATGGCAAGAGAGGCATCTGCTTCAAATGTTGCAGATGCAGACAATGATTATGATCGCTGGGACCTTTCTGGTCGAACAAAGACAGCGTCCATTTAAGTGCAAACTTTGGTCTGCCACGACTCATCTCATTAATCGTGGATCAACTTGAGAAAATCTAAGCCGAGGTTGAAGACACATAAAAGACGAGGGGGCCAAGGTTATGCCCTGCATTCATTTGGAGGGAGCTGAAAAACCAACACCCTCTTGGTGAGTTTTTGATGAAAGAAACTGTAAAGCACATGCACCTGAAAGATAGCAGCTTCTATCTGAATAAGATAAAAGTCAGTTCATGAGTCGATATGTGTTTGTTTGAGAGTGTTTTCCAGCCTTGGATTTTGTAATGTCAGAAAGAGCCTTCATCATTATGGCCTGATGGTTTTAAAATCATAGTTTAGCTGGAAAATACCTGCATTTCTCAAGTCTACACTAATCATAATTGTTTCCATTTTTTTCCTATTTATTTGATAATTTTTTTCTTCAGGCAAACAATTGATCAAAGCTGAAGAGGAAGCCATGCCTTTGAAAGTAACAAAAATTGATAAAAGAAAAAGAATCAGCTATGTGTATGTCATTTTTGGATTCCATTAAACATTAATTCATTAAACGTTATGCACTTTCAGCAACAGAGAACCATGATTTCAAAATTATACATAAAAAATTATAAATTGTGCTCTCTTAAAAGATGCAATGTATCACTATTGTTTTATATTGCTTTTGCAAGCAAAATGTTAATAAATTTAATTACCAACTACCTATTAATTACATTTTATACTTTCTTGAAGATAAAAAACAAGTGCCAAAATTGGAAAACAACCCACTAAGAAGAAGAAGAAAAAAGCAAAAAACGGTATGTCTCTTCGATTTAATTTTACAGAATGAAATTGAAAATGATGATCTTCAAACGATTAAATGTTCTTTTGATGTAGCTGCTACACACCACAATCAAGAAATCGTTGATTGGCAAGTTTGCTAATTGAAGCAGCAGAACAAAAAGGTATCAGCTTAAATTTTGTAACATTAACACAAATCTTTAGAAATTTTCAACATAATAACAATATGTTTGAGTTGAATTTACAGTTGAATTGCAGATCCTTTCGCAGTGAGTAATCTAAATGGCTGTGGACCCAAGAAACAGGACTGAACTGCAGACTGCAGTTTCTATGCTGGCTTTTATATCCTGTAATGTCAAGCTTTTGCATCACTCTGTTACCTAACAGTTTTTCAGAATTATGAAAGGTAGCTATGATGTTATAACCTGATACTTTAATATCTTAGACAATTGACCTGGAGAAGCAGCCCGAGAGAATGGAAGATCCTGCCCTTAGAATTGCTGCAGAAGGAGAGGTCCCGCCAGTAGTTGCTAGCCGAGCTCCAGTCCGTGAGGTACTGTGTTTTCTAAGACGGCTTCTACATCCTGTAATGTCAAGCTTTTGCATCACTCTGTTACCTAACATAACTTTTCAGAATTATTAAAAGTAGCTATGATGTTATAACCTGATACTTTAATATCTTAGACAATTGACCTGGAGAAGCAGCCCGAGAGAATGGAAGATCCTGCCCTTAGAATTGCTGCAGAAGGAGAGGTCCCGCCAGTAGTTGCTAGCCGAGCTCCAGTCCGTGAGGTACTGTGTTTTCTAAGACGGCTTCTACATCCTGTAATGTCAAGCTTTTGCATCACTCTGTTACCTAACATAACTTTTCAGAATTATTAAAAGTAGCTATGATGTTATAACCTGATACTTTAATATCTTAGACAATTGACCTGGAGAAGCAGCCCAAGAGAATGGAAGATCCTGCTCGTAGAATGGCTGCAGAAGGAGAGGTGCCGCCAGTAGTTGCTAGCGTTATACATAAGTGTGTCCCTTTATCAACAAACGTATCCGTAGACAAACACCTTGGGACTATATCGCCTGAAATACATATCAACAGTATGGTCGAAAAATTAAAGCAGCTTTATGACATAACAAGGCAGGAACATGCGGTTTTGTATGGTAATGTGTACCATGACTTAAAGTCCCTTGACGTCTGCAGAAGTTTCATAAAGCAAAAATAAATTAAGTATAAGATAGAGATCGAAAATTAATGGCTTAGAAAGGTTTTGGGCTTTATTGAGCACCCTCCAGGTATAAATAGGCCTGATATATATTGCCTGCGATCTGATTACAAAAGTACAGGAAAGGCCTGACAATCACAAGTATCCCTCCTTGCAGTTGTCTGTTTGATTGTATATTGTATAATAGATTCTATAGCAAATCTAATAAACCATGATATCAAAGACACATTTGCCCTTTACTATAACTTTGAATCTGGTATAGAATTTATTCCTCTAATGGGCGTCAAGCTAACCCTCACAAACCACACACCATTCGAACTGTAATTTCTTGCTCTTTTCAATGAGCCTACCATCTTTATTGGGTCTCCTATTGAGAAGGATAGAATTATGGTTTTCCATTGGTCGAAAAGATGCAAAACGTTCGATATTCAAATTTGATTGGCTAAAAATGATCACATGATCAGTATTCTATTGTTCAAAAATGGCGTCTTGCCTACCAGCAAAATTTGAAAGCTGTTGTGTGGTGTGGAGATACGTTCCCTACTTTCGGAGTTCGCGGTGAATCTACTTTACTATTTATGTTATCGCGTGTATTGGCTTTACTATCAACTGTTCCTCAAACTGACATATTCGAACTTCATGGCAAGACATCCCAAGCTAGGCCCCTTTGTTTACTCGTTGTTTTGGCAAAGTGAAAAAGCGTTGGTGTTATTCGAATTTCCTTTTTCGCCAGACTTGATCGGAATTGATTTCAAATCTTCTTGTTTTCTGAACATGGGTAGACCACAGAAAAACAACCTGAAATATTGGTTGGACAAGCAACCACGCTTTATTTTTTGTGTGGATGTGACTCAAGGTTAGCCCTCCATTCTTCAGATTTGTCCAGAAAATCAAAGCATTTTCAAGTAAATGACAGGCTGCAGGTTGCAACGTATGAAATTGGATGCCATTATGAAGCTGCAAGAAACTTCTGTGCCAATATGGACCTTCCACCACCGGTTTCATTCAAACCATTGAATAAGAACAAGGCAAGGATCCACGAGGCATTCAAAGCAGAGTCTTCCAAGAGCAAGAACAAAGCTGCTTCAGAAGTAAAAGTTGCCAAAGGGGATGATGTCACTGTCTCTTGCGATGGAACTTGGCAAAAGCGTGGATTTGCAAGCAAGAATGGTGTTGTGACAGTTGCAACAGTCAATGGACTTAGTTCCAAAATAATTGACACTGAGACCTTGACAAACCATTGCAATAAATGTAAAGCAACAACAAATGGCAATGAAACTGCACATAAATGCCAGAAGAATTATGAAGGAACTGCAGGGTCTATGGAAGGTGAAGGTGTCAAAAGAATTTTCAAGCGGTCACAACAACAGTATGGCTTATCATATGTTGGATACTTGGGAGATGGTGACTCAAAGAGCTTCAAAAATCTGAGTGAGGCAGTGTCACCAATCTACCAAGGGAAACAAATTGAAAAATTAGAATATGTTGGTCATATTCAGAAAAAAATGGGGAGAAAATTGAGCAATCTTGTTTTCAAATGTAAAAATAAGATTTTTATCAACAGTGATGGAAAGAAAGTGAAAAGAAATTGGAGGGAAAAGGAAGTTGACAAAAAAGGACATTTACGGGATTCAAGGACATTATGGAGCAGCAATAAGAAAACATGTTTGAGATGAAAATAGAATGAGAAAGGCAGTTTGGGCCATTTTTCATCACAGATAAGGGGACCATTCGATGTGTGAAGAATGGTGCCTGTCACAACGTGGTAACCTTGAAAAGGCCAATGCCAGAATGCTGCCAAGTTTTGTCTTGGATGAAATGAGGCCTGTATTTGAGATCCTTACTTCAACAGAGCTCCTTTCAAGGTGCATGCATGGAGGAACTCAAAATGTGAATGAATCATTTCATCACCTCATCTGGTCCCTGTGCCCTAAAGAAATTTTCGTCAGCTGGCGGCGACTGCAAATAGCTGTTTCCTCTGCCACATTGCAATTCAATGAGGGAAAAGCTAGCAAACTTGCTGTATGTGACAACCTTGGCTTGTTCCATTCAAGCTATCAGCCGAAATATGCTAGCATGATGGACAAGCTAAGAGTCACAACCTCTCATGTAACTGAAGTCCAGAAAACAAAGCGGAAGAAGAACCAAGAAGCAACAAGCTTGAAAATACATTCAAGTGAATATGGTCCTGGAATCTGTGAAAATGCAGAATAACTGCTTTAGCTTGTTTCCAGGAACTTTAGAATAAGGTCCTCTATCATAAAATATTAAATATACATTTTTCCTGCAAGTGAATAAAGCATAAGAGTCCATAAAGCCTTTAACTAAACTTTAAACGCGTTTTTTTCAAAAGTTTAATTTACGGTTGACGTACATGA